ACAAGAAGCCTCCTTTCCAGTTAAGGTCCACACCCATGGAATAGATGGCAAAGTCCAAGTTTCAAAGAGGGAACCAGAGTTACAGGCAAAACTTGCCGGCCAGGGTATTGCCTTTCTTCATTCACAAGCTTGGCACTGTAGTCTTGCTGTGCAGAACCAGCGAGGTGCGGAGTAGGGTGTAGGGATGGGATCTGTTTACTCTGTACAACCTCTGCACAACAAGGTCAGCATAATCATCTTAGGGCTCTACTGGTTTGTGTTGTTTTTGTTTGTTTGTTTGTTTGTTTTGTTTTGGTTTTGTGTTTGTTTTTTTTTAATATACATTTTGTATCAAATATAAGGAATAAAATTTCTTCACTGGTGTTTTTATAAAGTCTTCCTAGGTTCTGTGTTTATGGTACATTCTATTGCTATTGAGGTTGGTTTGAAAGAACCCCTGTGCAGCTTATTAATGTAACATTGCACTGCAGAATCCGGAAAAGCCTGTTACAGTAGTGCTACCAAACATGAACTGACTTGCAGTGTGACAGCTGCTCAGGATTCCTGTTTACAGTTTATTGTTTCTGTAGCCACTTTTGCTATGTTTACTCTCACAGCACTATTGGTGTGTAGTGTAAAATAAACCCATTCTTCTAGCTTATCCAGAGGGTGTAGGGGGAAAGACTTTCCTGTTCTGTTGCATTCTTGCAGAAAAAAATCCTGGCTAAAGTGAGGAGTGAGAAACTAGTAGGGTTTTCTGAAAAGGAATTGAAACCATCCTCCACAAGTATCAATACACATACATATGGAGCTTGTGCAGCTGATGTCTGCAAGTATCTGCTGAATAGGCATTTTGGTTTTCCTCACTCCTGCTGTAAAAGACTGATAAGTCACTTATCCTTTCTCCAGAACTAGTACACTTACTGACTGTCACCTTGGCTTGTTTAGACAATGTAATGCCAGTTACTAAATGAGCAATATATGAACATGAATAGAAGTGCCAGGGATCATGCTGAGTATCAGACATTGTGGTTCTGTTTAAATTAAAATGACACCTTAATTTTAAGTGCTGTATAATTAGATCTTGTAAATACTGTGGTTTTGAATGAGGTGCAGTGTTTGCACTGGTCAGAAAACTTGAAGTTTTGTCATTTTTTTAACATAACCAAAGTGAAGGAACTACTTAACTGTTAACTGCTGATATTTCACTGACTTTTCAGTGCTGTGAAGGGTAATAATTTGCTGCAGTAACTCTAATTCTCAAATTTTGCCCAAGTATAAAATGTTCCGTGGTTTTTAAGAAGTTCTACATAGTTGCTTATCTTAGCCCATAATAATGATATGATAGTCCGACAAGATATAGAAGTTTCTGTATAATTTATATGAAAGTAGGACATTCTACCTAAAATATGAGATACCTAAAATGAAAACCAGACTAGAATGAAAACAACAAAAAAAATCTCCCAAAATTGTTTTTCACAGCATGGGCCTCCTCATCCAACTAGTGGAGTTTTTTTATTATTTTCTTAATTAGGTGAGCTCCTGTATTCTATTAGGATATTCATTGTAACAAAAATATTTCATTACTTACTATTATCTGCTCAAGAGGTCCTTCAGGGATAAAGAAATGGTCTTGCCAAAGGATTGTTGATTCTTCCTAGTTTTGTGTCCTTCTTTATCTTAAGCTTAGCTCTATGAATGAAAAATTGGCAAAGAGGTTCCTCAAAAAGTCCATGTTTCTTTCAAAAACCTTAGCTCTGTGGTTCTTTCATTTGCTTTACATTTGCATCTAGACAATAGCTTTTAGGGCTTGAGGTTTCTAATTGGTTTTTGTTTTCTAAATTAGTTTTACCTTTGGTATTTATATTTAGTTATGTTTGAACTTTCACTTGCCAAATTGCTGCTGATTTTTAATGTGTGATTTTCATTAGACTTGCAAATATTCATTTTTTTTTGTAATGACCTTCCTCTCACTGAAATCTTGTTAAGAAGTTGAATATTTAAGTGCACATGCTTTGCTAGGTCATGTAATCATCGGTCATGTAGGTAGCAGCCCTCTTCTCTTAGTTAATTATACATCCTGTAAGTGCTAAATTGATCTTAAAATTGTTGAATGCATTGCACAGGGGCTCGTAATTATTGTCATGTTCTCATCATATTTTTAATTATGTAATGCCTTTAGGACAGTAACATAAGTTTTATATCCTCCATTTATTAGTTTTTCCTGCAGCACTCTGTTTTCACAGGAATATGAAATTGCTATGAAATAATTTTTCAATTTTCTGTGACTTTCCATCCCATATCAAAGGAATCAGGTTTATTGCCCTTTTTACCAAAGAGAAGCTGCAAGTCTTTTTAGATGACTAATATAAAAAATTCTTAAGTATTTTGAGTAATAATCAAAACTACTAAACACCAACCTCTTGTTTCAGAACTGGGACCTACTAACATGTTGAAGGTAAGTTTAGGTGTTCTCTGTGTGTTCTAGTTGCTGGATAGTTAAATGAGCTTTCCTTTCTCCTTCTCACTGTGGCTCTGTATGTGGTTTTCATGCCTCACTAACTGAATTTTCTTGCCAAGTTCCAATGGGTCTGAAAGAAATGTAAATTACTACATTTTCATTAGCTAAAATCTGGGTCAAGTATAAACAAATTAAAAAAAAAGTCTAGAAAATAAGCTTTTCACCTCAGAGTTTGGGTTGTTCCTCCTGTGCAGGTAAATGAAACCTGCAAACTATCTGTTAACTCTTCGGTGGCTTCTTGGGGAAATACTGTTTCACTGTATTGGAGTGCTGACTTTGACATCTTGTGCTTGACAGCAGTGTAAGTAAGCTGGTGTTATACAGTGTGTATATAATGATTAACCTGTGGTAGCTGTAGAATGCCTACCTGCTGACTTGTTTTGGGCATCAAGGGCTCAAAACTTTCCTCATTTGTAAGTGCTGTTAAATTTGGATAGTATTTTGACTCACATTTACTGCTGTTATGTGATTTACTTCACTGAACAAAATATTAAAAACATTCCTGATCATTTCAGAGACTTGTTTCACATTGGCCACTTATTTGTAGTTTTTGTTGTGTGAAGAGTTTTAAGACATCGTAAAAAAGAGACAAATTTCACGATCTACTGTCCTTTATAAAACTACTCCAAAACAAATTATTTTATCTACTCTTTCAGTCATGCTTGGAGCTTTTCTAAGTCAAAATAAGATGCTTGCAGTCAAAAACATGTGGACTTCGCAATTTTTTTAAAAAAAATTTGGTTTTACATAATCTGTAGCACCTGATAGGGAAAAGTTAGTTAAGAAACTGTAATTTATGTAAGTACAAAAACAAGCTTTGCATAATAGATGTTCCAAGTAGGTATTAATACTTATGCACATATGTAGTTGTACCTTTCCTTCAGTGTGCAAGGAGGAATGCTGTTGGAATCCCAAATAGTGCAAACAGTGAACACTTTGAGAATGCACAGTATTGGTATAAAGGAATATAATTTATTGAACTGAAAAGAATAAACTTACTTTATTGAACTAAAGAAAATAAACTTACTTTAGACAAGTTTTTCTGTGCTTAAGGAAAATTTGTCATGAAAGGAAACATGACTTAAGGAATTTACATGTCTATATGAAATTTAGGAAGAACCAAGGCTCAGAAATCCAGCCCTGTGAAACTTTTTTGCTAATGCTTAACCCTGGAAGAATACAAGTTGTGCTGTTATTTTGCTTTTAATTCATTAAGACTCTATAATTTGTAGCTTTTTACACCTCGAACTGCCCCAGACGTAACTGACTAGCTAAATATGATGAATAACTAGAAAAAAAATAACCAACTGAAAACCTTCACAACAGTCAACGCATCAGCACCACACTTCATTGGCATCTGCAAGGTTTATCTGTTATGTGAACTGTAACTACAGGTACCAGCACCTTTTAAAATGCATAGGAGAGTGGCATGCCACAGGCCGTTAACCAGCACCTTCAAGGCTGGACCAGCGATCTGAACAAAATGGACAGGGTGCGCAGCACATTCTTAAAACCTCGGTTTCCTTGTAACTTATCCTGCTGCATGTTGATTACTGCAACTGGCAAAGTACAGAGAGGCTGGCAGCTGGGATGGAAACAGCCTGGAAATAAAACCAGGGGCAGCTTGACCTGGCAGAAGGGTGACCTACCATTCACGTGAGAATTTATGTTTCTTCATCTAAACAGCTTCTTACATTTTCCTGTCAGTCCTTCTGTTCTATTGGGCATCGTTGGGACATGCACTGATTATTCGGGGTATTTTTAGAGAGCATAAATAATGGCAGAGTCATGCTTTGAATTTTCGTCCTAGAAGGAGCAGAAGGGCCAGCAGTTCACATCACATGGCTGCTGCTTAAACGAGCAGACATCTATTCTAGTAATATTTTCCCACCAAACATAGCATCCAAGTGCCCTGTGGGAAACCACGTGCTTACTGGAGCCTGGCTCAACCCGAGGGCTGTGCACTGGAAACGTAAACCATTCAAAGCCTCTGTCCTTTCCTTGATTCTTGTGGTGGTAGTTCTCAGCCAGAAAGTGATAGGGCAGAAATTTAAGCCACCTTACTTTGCAGGGAGACAGCTGCGACGGCGCTTTGAGCTATCCATCTGTGGAAACCGTGGAGAGGAAAACAGGAAAAAGGAAAATAGGAAAACTTGTTTATTGAAGTGATTGTAACAGTGATGTAACAGTGATTGCTTTGCCCACCCGTGTGGGTTCTGATGGTTTTTACGAACAAAACTGATGGCTGATGGGCCGGCGGTGTCAGTGGCAGCTACAGGAGCGGGGGCTGCTCTTCCCCGTGGGACAGCGCCCGCGGCGGGCTCCCTGGGCTCGGCAGCGGCGGGAGGCTGGACAGCTCTCCCAGGTGCTGGCCGGAGCCGGGCCGGGGGCTCCCGGATCCGCCACCCCCGGGCCCGGCAGCCGCCGGCCCCGCCTCGGCCGCACCGACGTCAGCGCGCGTCAGGGCCGAGCCCCTCGCCCTGCCCGCCCGCGGGATCCGCCGTCCCGCCGCCGCCGCTACCCTCGCCCTCCGCCGCACGCTCGCACCCGCCGCCCCGGCCCGGCCCGGCCCGGCCGCCGCCCCTCGCTCCGCTCCCCGACAGCCGCGCAGCGCGAAGATGGCGGCGTTAAAATTCCTGCTGCAGCCCCTGGGCCGCCGCATCCTCCTGCCGGCCGCGCCAGGGCCGAGGTAAGGGCGGCTCAGCCCCCTCAGCCCCCTCCGCCTGCCCCTGCCCGCCGCTGACCTTGGCGGGGAGCCCGCCCGCAGCAGCCCGTGCCGGGACCGCCGTGCCCCGCGCCGGTGGCCGGAGCCCCGGGCGGGGGCGGCCGCCCCGCAGCCCCGGGGAGGCTCTTCCCGCGACAGGGCTTTGTTCGGGAAGGGTCTGTGCCGAGGGAGCACGGAGGGCAGCGGGAGGAGGGAGGGCAGAGCGCGGCCCCGCGGCCCTGGCGGCGTGTGGGGATGCGGTGACCTTGGGAGGGCGGCACGGAGGTTTGCTTGGAGGGGTTTTTTTTTGGGGGGGTTGGTTTTTTTTTTTACATATTTTTAAAATTTTCTCAGCATTTCAGAAGGCAGCACAGCTACGGCGTGTTACTGTGTGTCTCCACGTTGCCCTCTCCGACCCGGTGCAGGGGGTGGGCAGCAGGTGTGCGCACCTCGCTGGCAGCCCCGCCATCTCCTGCTGCCCACAGACGTGTGGTGTGCTGCCGTGCAGCTCCCTCACTCGCTTGCTTTGCCCTTCCTGTGGGAAGCTTCTGCCAAACCCCACAGCTCTAATGGTTTCCAGCCCACACGTAACCCATAGCCAAGTTATTTTCCTTCTTTCTTCAGCCAGAAGTCTGTGACTTTTCTTATTTTGTTGTAGGTGAAACAGCTTACCTTCTCATGCCTGTTTTTACTTCTCCTGATGATAAATCTTAGTGCTTAGCACTTTCAGTTTTTGTTTTGCTTTTCCATAAAATTTATTTCAGTTCTATGGGTTATTTCAAGAGCTCATCTGTCCCCATGCTACTTTTTTAAAACTGGGATGCCAGAATGGCCGGCTTGTGAGGTCTTAGCTTGCTGCCCCAGTATGCAGGGGCACATGGGTGATCCTTGGCACCTCAGCTCCCTGAAAACCCACCTCTCAGATAGCAATGTGGGCGGGAAAGAGACTAAAAGGAACATATTTAGTATAGAAGGGCAGATACTCTCATAAGAGACATACAGTCTGTGAATGCACATTTGTGTAACACATACCACTGTGTTCACTGCTGTAGCATGCAGTCGGGAAGATTAAAGAAAAGGTGCCACGTAGCCTCTTTAAAATATTTTCCTGTGAGTGGGTACAAGGACACAGCAGAGCCCTGGCCTCCCTCCAGCCCTGGCTCTCAAGCTGCTTGCAGCCCAGTTGTATTGCAGCTCACGAGGCTGCCAGCACTTAATACCCCTTTTGTCAATTGCACACCTTATGGGACCAGTGGAGATGCCCTTTGCAGCCTATTGTCATTATGAAAAAGTGTTTCTAGGAGAATCATAAATTATAGGATAGTTTGGGTTGGATGGACACTTAAGTTTTCTAGTCCAATCGCCCTTCAATCGGCCAGGCTATCTTCAATTAGATCAAGTTGCTCAGAGTCCCTTCCACCCTAACCTTGGATGTTTCCAGGGATGGGGTACCCACAGCTTCTCTGGGCAGTCTGTTGCAGTGTCTCATCACCCTCATAGTAAAAAAATTTCTTCCTTATATCTAGTCTGAATATACTCTCCTCAGGTTTAAAACCATTATCCATCATCCCATTGCTGCAGGCCCTACAAACAGGTTTGTCCCCATCTTTCTCATGAGCCTTCTTCAAGTACTGAAAGGCAGCAATGAAGTCTTTCTGGAGCCTTCTCTTCTCCAGGCTGAACAACTGCAACTCTCTCAGCCTCTGCTCACAGGAAGAGGTGCTCCAGCCCTCTGATCATGGCTCTCCTCTGGACTTGCTCCAACGGGTTTATGCCTTTCCTGTGCTGGAGAGTCCAGAGCTGGATGCGGTGTTCCAGGTGAGGTCTTATCAGAGTGGAGCAGAGGGATAGAATCCCCTCACCTGACCTGCTGGCCATACTCCTTTGGGTGCAGCTCAGAACACATTTGGCTTTCTGTGCTGTGAGTGCACATGGCCAGATTATGTCCAGCCTCTCACACACCAGCCCCCCCACGTCCTTCTCACCAGGGCTGCTCTTGATGAGTTCTTCTCCTGGTCTGTAGTCACGCTTGGCATTGCCCTGACCCGCATGTGACACCCTGTACTTGGCCTTGTGGAACCTCATAAGATGCCCATGGACCAGTTCTGTGAGCCTGTGCAGGTCCTTCTGGATGGCATCCTGTCCCTGGGATGTTAAGTGCAACATTTGGCTTGGTGTCACCAAATTTGCAGATTTGCTGAGAGTGCATTCGATCCCTCTTTGCCATTGATATTAAACAGTCTTGGTCCCAGTACAGATGCCTGAGGGATACCACGCATCACCAGTATCCATCACGACTCTAAGCCATTGAGCACTATCCTCTGGATGGGACCATCCAGCCAATTCCTCGTCTGCCAAACAGTCCATGCAATCAAATCCATCTCTTTCCAAATTAGAAGGATGTTGTGAGGGGCCATGTCAAAGGCTTTACAGAAGTGCAGATAAATCTGTAACCCTTCCCCCATCCATTATGAAGTTACTCCATCATAGGAGGCCACTGGGTTAGTCAGGCAGGACTTGCCCCTGCTGAAGCCATACGGTCTGTCCCAAATCACCTCCCTGTCCTCCATGTACCTTAGCACAACTTCCAGGAGGATCTGTTCCATGATCTTCCCAGACACAGAGGGAGACTGACAGGTCAGTAGTTTCCAGGGTCCTGCTTTCTACCCTTTGTAAAGATGGGCAGAATGTTTACCTTGGGGAAGTCTTGAGGGACTTTACCTCACTCCATGACTTTTCAAATATGGATCAGTGGAGAAATGGTTGTGCTATGATTTGGCATGTGGAAGGCTCTTGTAGTCTTTCTCACCTAACACTATTTCTTACGATCCACATACTGATTTTTGATTGAGCCCATCAAAGCAGAGGAACGTTAGTGTTTCAGCTGGGAAGACTGGAAGCTTCCATTCAGAAAGGCTTTTTAATATTCAGTATAAACTCTTGCAGGTTTAATTTTAGAAAGGGAACAGTTTGTGTAATCTTGAAACTGAGCCAAAAATTGTTGTCCTGGTTGTAACTGTATCTTATGGCAACTCTTCAGGGAAGAATTGGGCTACTGTCATTAAAACATTGGTAGATTACCTTTTTTATTGATTAATTTTTCTCCGTCTTTCACAATCTAAAAATTCTCACTTCTCCTATCAAGAACTGGAAACACCAGTAGATAGTACTGTAGCTTCCAGGTTTTCTCAGTTTGTTGAGACTACCAAGGTAGTGACTTAAATGGCATTTTTTTCTGGTGCCTGAACAAGTACCTGGTTAGTATTAATGCATGATGTTAGTGGGAAATACTTAAAGGAAAAAAGGTGACCGTGACCTAAGAATGTAATAGATGAGTTATTATGACTACTGTTTAATGGCTTTGCATTTTGAAGTGTTTGTTTGGGGGTGGGATTTACATTGATTTCCTCTTACCCTCCATATTTCATGCACTTTTTGGAGTCTCCCCGATTCTGGGCTGTTCTTCAACAACACAAAGAGAGCCTAAGACTGTGTTAGGAAGCATTAGGACTGCATCAGGAAGTTGGGGGAAGGTTTATGTGTTGAAGGGTGTCACTGCTTACTATACTACCAGTACAACGCTGTCCTTCATGTTGTTCCTTGGCTTCCACTCAAATTTTGTGGTGCTGGTGCCTCTCTGCTTCAGCAGTTTCTGTATGTGTTTAGTGTCTGGATATCTCTGAAGCTCCACAAAACAGTGTATAGGTTTGAGAAGTCTGTGGGTTGCTGTAATTCATGCTGAGGAATTGCATTTGTAGATCTGTTTGCAGTAAGTCACAATTTGGCAACAATTCAGGATGGAATTCTTTTGTTTTGAAGACCTGTGGCCTTCTTTTCCCCACCTCCCCATGTTAAGTATTTACAGTAGCAATATATTTTTTTATATATTTTCCCTCTGGTGTACCCAGAGGCATGGTTTTCATTATAAAGCTACTGTATAATGCTTTTTGTTCATTCACTTGTTTCTTTTATTGTTGCAGATTTGTGGATGCTATTTTTCTACCAGCTCTCATCGCAACACCAAATTTTATACTGATCCTGTTGAAGCTGTAAAAGATATACCCAATGGGGCAACTATACTTGTTGGTGGTAAATATTTAAATTCCTTAAGGATGCAATCACGTTCTGTTAATGAGATACTTTTTATTCATTTACCATGTTTCTTTTAATATTAACTAATTTGAGAATTCATGGAATTGCATGGTTTTTTAAACAAGTGGTTTCCTACTTTACCTGTATTCTTTCAGTGAGAAAATCCAGGTTGTGCCTTAGGGGAGGGAAAAAGCCTCAGAAACATCATTACTTTTCTTTCCCACTAAAGAAATGTTAGACTCTACTTGTCCTAGTTTGAATCCAGAAAATCAACATGGGCTTTTTCAGGATAGCGTAGTTATTTCAGGATTTGGTTTGATTATTTTTATGGTAACATTCTTTGTATCCTGTATCCACCTCCTCTCTGGGTCTCTGTGACCTTGAACAAATTGCATAACCTGTTTTGCTGTTAGGAAGCAAAGATATATATATATACTTATAATACTAATCTGTGTTACACTTAATTGTTATGCTTGGCATTTCCAGAAGAGTCAAGGAGTTGTGTCATACTGACTTTCACTGTGGTTTGAGCCTTTGAATATTCTAGATGTCTCCACACTTTCATACTGCTCCACCTCTGTGAAGAAAAGTGATTTCTCTATTTTGTAGGTTGTTTTGATATTGAAGAAGTAATGAATGTAACAAGCAAACATGAGAAACCTCACTGTACATGTATAATGAATCAAAATTCCTTCTGAGAAGATTCTTTTTGTTTGTTTGGTTGTTGGTTGGTTGTTGTTTGAAAAAAAGATCTGAGGCCATGATAGGTTGGACTTGATGATCTCAAAGGTCTTTTCCAACCTGACTCTGATTCTGTGAAATGGTAGTACCTGTAGTGTGACATGGTATTTCATTTTGGGCATACTGGGTTCTTGCATAACAGGTGAGACCATGAGGCACCTCTGCCTTAGTGGAGGTCTGGGTTTCTGTGCTTCCAGTTACACATCTTCCCAAGGGTGTTCAAATTCCCAGATTTTTATCACTTAATTATAGGCTAAGCTGTATGGGATGTTCAGCAGAGATCTGAAGGTTGGGTGGGTAGAAAGAGGAGAAATTATGAACACAGAGATTAGGACACACATCAGGAGAGCGAAAGCCCTGGAGCTCTTCCCCAAAGGCCGTTTGTGTGTGAACAGACCCCGGATGGCTAAAGGGCTTTAGTGCAAACTGGGAAGCAGTCTGATCAGGAGATTACAGTACTAGGGTACACTCTTTCCAGAAATGTTGTTTTATTTAGTCAGCTGAGAAGCTTGTTTTACTCAGGAAAGGTTTTTAATTCCCAGACTTCTAAATAATCTGTGTTCTTTCAAACAGTTGTTACATATTCAGTTTTCTTGTATTTTGTGTAGGTTTTGGATTGTGTGGGATTCCTGAAAACCTCATTGGGGGTTTACTGAAGACTGGAGTAAAGGGAATAACTGCAGTCAGTAACAATGCAGGGTAGGTATTCATGTGTCTATGTTTTAATAAGTACAGACTAAATATTTCTCTCACAGGAAAATGCTGATATATATGAAAAACCCTTCCTTTTCACCATCATAGTTTTCATAATAACCACACAACTTGGTTTGAAAGTGTTATTTTTGGAATGAGCCCAGGGAGTACAGTATGTATGTATACTCAGCCTTGTCAGGGAAGAGCTGTCACTGTTGTAGAGAGTTGCAAATATATACTTTTATATATATTCAACTAGTTGACTGTAACTGAAAGTTCTGATTTAGATGCTTTAAATGTACTGTCAGTGATTTTGTGTGTTGTAAATTTCCAAATAGTGATATACTTTTAAACTCATTTTGGTGCTTTCTGACCTTCCTACTGTATTTTTATTACTTTAAAAATACCCCAAACAACACAAAAAACAGTGGAGAACATCTGTGATGAAAGAACAGGGAGGGTCTTTAATGAGTCTCGAAATTTTTGATTTATTTTTAAAAGATTTGCACATGAGTGGGTTTTACGGTGAGAATAGTTCTTTTACATACAATTTCTCAGCTTCTCATTTGGCCTGATTTTTACACAAGCTGTTCATTGTAGTAGACTCCACAATACCTAACAATCTTCATATAGAGAAATAATTACAGCCACTTCTACTGGAGTGCATTAAGAAAATAGAAATTATATTAAATAAAAATATTGATATGCAAAATATGAATTGCACATTCATTGAATAACAGATTATTTGTGTTGGTATTTGGTACATACACAGTCAAACTTAATCTCCTTAGGATCCTCTGGGAAGCAGTTTCTGCTGGATGATAAAACGGAGAGGAAAAGAGACAATTTTGAGTGGAAAGGTCAATCACTAGAGATCATTAACTTTCTTCATAGTCTTATTTTTGAATGACACACATATATGTACATAGATTGCACAGATGTTTCTGAGAGGGAGCTGAAAGTTTGACTGTGAGGAAAAGTGGAAAGAGGAGCATTGTGGAACAGAATGGAGAAGAAGATATTTTGCATTGTTCTGCACACAGTTTGTGATGTTATAAGTTAGAATTAATTTTGATTGAAATAATGTTAACTTTTCTGAAAATTCTTTGAATTTTGTGGCTGAAGGGATTTATGTAAAGCTTTTGGTTGCTAACAGGAAAGCAAAATTTAATTCCTTTTTTTCCTGGAAACCAGTTTTCCATGAAAAATTATGAAAGTCTGGGAAGATCCTCACAGAACAGTGTAACAATTTGAAAATACTCAAGGACATCTACAGTTTTCAAGAAGTCTAGTTTGTAAAAATACAAGTTTTGCTCTCACGTTGAACAGTATAATTTATTTTGAAATTTAATAATAAAATAATTTTTTCCTCTGTTGTTTTTATTTGTTGTATTATTGTTATACGGAGCTTAGCCTGCTGTGGTTTGGTAGGATTTGGAAACCAGGTAAAAACACAAGTGTTGTCAGTAATAAAGTCAGAATTCTCATCACAGCAGTTGATACCATTTTTAATCTTCTAATTAGGATGTCAAAAAGCATGCTTTTCTGTGCATCTTCCAATACCATGTCCAGAAGTATTAGTGGTATTATCAGGTATTGCAATACTAATAATGTCTTTGCAACTGAAGTAGCACAACAGTCATATACCCTGCAACAGTAGTATTCAAAGGGTGAATTGTTCCTGTAATATGGAGATGTCAGGCACTTTGTGGGATGAGTAATTGGCCACTTTCAATATGTCACATGATTCAGTGTGTTTTGCTTTGGTGCCTTGTGCTGCAGTTGATGCCCTGCTGTGTTTCAGCTTCCTGACTGCAGCTGTTCTCTTTTCTTCCAGCAAACAGGAGGTAGTTGGTTGCAGCTCAGTTTGCTCAGACTGCAGTGGAGTTAGCAGGCAGCTTGTAATTGGAGCAGAGGAGGAACCAAGTGCATAGACAGACAGCCTATTCTGGAGAGCAGTGCAGCTACATGGATTAAGGCACATGCCTGCGAACCATGGAATGTGTCGCAGAGCTATCTGTTTATAACTAAAATAGCAGCAGTGGAGACAGTGATTCGCTTATATCTAGGGAAAAGCAGTAATTAGGAAGTCCTGAAGTGTTCTTGCCAAGTCTCTTTTAGCTGGAAAGAAGGTTCAGCAAAGCCTAGAAGTGCTTGGCAGTCTCTGGAAACAACTTTAAAGGAGTAGGATGTTCACAAGTTCACATCCTACTTACTGTTCTGTGCTGCAGTGTAACAGGGAGGAGATTCCTCCTGCAAGAACTTGTTCTAGTCATATAATTGCTGGCAGGTGAAGTCCTTGTTTTGGCCTTTTTAGTGGGACCCTGGTTAGAAACATCGTACTGCCAAACTTACTGTCTGGTGCTGAGCAGTGCAGTAGTGCTCACACTGTGTGCTAGGCAGTGAAACAGCACCTTTAAGAGCAGTTACTGTTTTGCCAAGCCAAACAAGGCAAAGTGTTTGAAAGAGAAGCAGTACAAATATCCAGTACCTCTGGTATTTACACAACTTGCAGCAGGGGAAACTGAAGCTTGTGAACCAGGGTGATAGTGAAAGATAACCATGATAGCTGGGTGTGCTTCTAAAATACAGTCTCTCCCATCTTCCCTTATAACTTGTTTTGCTTATATAGTTCATATTTTAAATAGTTCCTTTACAGTATTTTTTTAGTCCTTTAAAGTCCTTTATTTTCTGTCCTTTAAATTTAGAATATTTTGCCTTAGTAAGCTACCAAAATCCGTTTTATTAAAGTTTTTCTGCATTTTTTTCCATTCCACATATGTCAGTAGGTCCTTATTTTAAACATTGGTTCAGCAAATTCTCAGCATTGTTGTGATTAGTATACAGTACGTTCTTGCATGTGACTGTTTTTCCGTCTGCTTGTAACTTCATGGTATCTTGTCGCATTCTGATTACAAGTCACTTGGAACTTGGGACTTGGACCTTTCAGGTCAGCCTACACTAAGACTTCCCTAATGCAGGCTATCAGACCTGTTGTTTCAGGATCTGTATTGCAACAAAGGATGTGTTCTTGTCAGCATAGCCAAATATTTAAAATGAAAGTTTAAACAATTAAATGAAATTATTATTTTAGTTAGTTGCACTTAATGAAATGGATAACTAATTTTGGGTATAATCATATTCTGACATCAACACTTCTGTCTCTACCACCTTAGTAAGCTGAATTTGTGCTGGATAAAAGTGAAGCCCATTATCTGTGATAGCTACACATGTGGTCTGACTCTTTTATCATTATTGGCCTTTGTCTGCTTTTGAGAGTGAAATATGCATTCTTTTTGAATGCAGTTAGTGTTGAACAGAAAGTTTTTCACTTACAGTAAAAATAGAGAAGTCACAGTTAATATCTTAATTACTAATCACCTGAGTGATCATCTAAAAGGAGATTGACAGCATGCAGTCAGATTATCACTAGTTCAGACAGTGTTCTTAAAAGGCATTACCAGCTTTTTGAACCTTTGGTCTCTATACTCTTTCTGAAGGTCTTTTGAAGTTACAGTATTATACATTAAGAAGGAGAAGTATAGCGTTGAGATAAACATTTGAACTGTTGGTCATGATGCCTGAATGCAGTTACTTAGTTCTATTGAGCATAGTATCCTGGTTTTCCCAATGGGCTGAGCTTTTCGTGGTTCCCAAATCTCTATAAGGCACTATGGGATCAGATGCAGTGGTAAACTCACTGCACTCCATATTCTAAAGCACAGAAGGTAGTTTTATATTCTTAGCAATTAAATATTTTGAATTCATGACAAGTTTGATAAAGGCTTTGTATTTTAAAGTTTAAAGTTTTCTCATTTTTCAGTCATTGCTTGGAATTGCATGTTTCTGTTAAAAACAAAACGTCTGACATCTTTGCTACAGGCTCCCCATTTTTTCTTGCATTTAACTCCTGTGACTTAATTCCATTGTTACTGCTACTAAAGTTATCTGTCTGTCTGTCTGTCTCTCTTTATGTTATATTTATTAAAATACGTAAAATGTCCATACATAGATAAAAGTACCATCAGGTGAAAGTTGCATTCCAAATTCACAGGAAGTTATGACATTCTTCCACATAGTATTAGGTATTAAGTGATTTTACTTAAATGAATTTGACAATCTCATGGTTCAGAAAGGTAAAATGTGACTGAAAAAGCCTGATGGACTTGAAAGGAGGCTTGTATGTACACAAAGGTGGGATCAAGGTGATGCTCAGAGTGTCTTATATTGTGTGTGTCTTTTTTGTATGTGCATAAGAATTGTTTAAACATCCCAATTAAATTTACTTTCAGAAGTGAAATACAAGGTTGCCCGGGTTTCTTATCTCACTTGGTAGAGAGAGAAGAGGTGGGTTATGTAAAATCCTGCACATGGCGAGTTACCAAAATCAGAAGGCAAGGTGTATATTTTCAGTGAAGTTGATTATTTGGAGCAGTTTACTTTTTAAAAAAATTATCGCTATTCTTCATGAAGAATCTAATCAGGTGCTTTTTTACAGCTCTTATATTGGTGACACTGTGTGAACTGCAAATCCCTGAAAATCTGCCCAGGTCATCTAGCTAATTTTAGTGTGGAGTTATTTAGGATTTTGGCAGGGCAAATTGTACTAACTTTGCACTACATGGAACTATTGAGAAATGAGCCACACAGATAACTTTCTAGTTGTGATTACAAATGAGAACAAAATAACTGTGGAACTCAGTGTGGCTGAGGAAATGTGTCAGCTTGGTTACAGAAGAGTGACAGTGAAAGTTGAACCTATCTTTCAGCCAAGTGACTTTTGAAGTATGATGCATTCATGATGAAATTCGAATATTTATCAGATTAACTCTGTGCCATATAAACTTCACTGTGAAGGAAAAATATGGTGAATTTTAAAAGTTCTGAATAGAGTTGTTTTACTTGTAATAAATACACAGTATGCCATTTCATAACAAAAAGGAATGTGGAAGGAGCAGATCTTGCTGCTGATGTAACCATGCAGTGTACAGTACTTTGTCCTCTTA